GCAAAACCACCTCAACCCAACCAACCAAAACATGTCGACATACACATAACTAATAAACATATAACCAGGCATCAGACAAACAGGCAGATTTACAGATCACTACCGCATGCTAACATCCTATCTACCAGGATACAGATCTAACAGATCACCACAATATACAATCATACGATAAACCAGGATAACAATCCAAATGGTCGGCCTTGGTGCCTTCGACCCGTAAGTGCAATGAGGAAAACTCACCTCATAAATTCGAATAGATAGCAGAAAAGAATATTGCTCCACGGGTCCACTCTATAGATCACCTATACACATGGAAAGACCCAAACTTAGGCTTCACACAAATACCCAAATTACCCCTAGGGTAAATCTAGGTCAAAGTCAACGGAAAGACAATGGTCAACAGAAAGTCAACCCAGCTGAGTATGCCTAGTGTACTCAGCCTCTACGCCCCGCGTACTCCACCTTGACCAAAAAGCGGACAGCTAACCACCTATGCCCAGCGTACACCTTGGTACACCCAGCATACGTTGTGGCCATGTAAACCTCCATTAAGCTCTTAATACATCGAGTCCAAACGTCCCAATTCAGATCTAAGCCTGACAATGTGCTCCAAACCATAAAGTTTCCAACTTTATGGTTATGCATGCCTTAATTAGTCCTTAACCCAAAACCCTAGTTTGTCTTAACCACTTAAGACCTTTATATCATGCATGCAACCTCTAAATGGGTCAATATTGCATTTTTACAACCTAAAACATCTCAAATCTTATGAAAGGACGAATCCTTTGGTCTTAGAGTAGCTCAAACTCATTAAGGCCAAGAAAAGGGAGTTAAGCGCATAAAACTTCCCATGGCAAGATCTTAAGTAAATACAAGCAAAGGTTAGAGCTTTATAACTTCTGGAGCTTCCGAAGGAGGCAAGGATCTCAGATATACAAGCTACCTTCCACACCAATGCTCCTCAATGAACCTTCTTCTTTCTTCTACACACCAAGAGCACACACTTAAGCTTAAACACACACTCAAGGGCTAGGGTTTGCCAAAAACATGACAATGAGAGGGGAGGCTGAAAAGGTAAGGGAAATAAGGCTATAAGCATGATTATATAGGGGCTTTGCCCTAAAATTTAGGGTTTCCACACCTGGCGAGTACGCTAAGTGTACGCATGGCGTACTCCCACTTCTCCAAAATTACAACTTTTCCACTAGGGCTTCCAATGGGCACTTCCTTCTACTTAGGGACCGAAATGCAATATAAAAATATTCGAAGGTTGATTTTAGAAATACTTGAACACGGGGATGTTACAATAACATAATAAATGCATATGTATAGCAGCTTACAATCATGAAATTGTAACAACTAATAAGAACATATTTTTATTTCTTAAGTATCTCTATATATTTATGATCCTTATATTTATAAATTAAATCTTATAATAGATGTCATCCAAATTAATATGATTCAAGATAAATTATCTATCTTGAACAATATTCATTTGAAACTCCTAACTTTTTAACTTCCTACTAATTAACCATAACATTAATATATTTTAATACTAAAGTATTCAACTTTCAACAAATTGATATAAATGCAAAGTTTTTTTTTACTTATGGTATTAATTGGTACTTAGTTCTATTCTATTTTCTTAATAATAAATTTTATATTTTATCCATTTGTATCATCCCTAAATGTAAATTAGCTTTATTTTACATCATGAATGATACATGTATACTTGATTTAGTAATACAATATATTATACGATTGGTTTCATTAATTATTCATTGATTTTTTTTAAAATTACAGTCATTGAAACTAATGATTGTCAATGAGTCAAGAGTTTATAGTTGATATGTAACTATGTACATCATATATAATGTTTTATATCTATATATCTAAAAAATGGTTTTATGTTATTCTATTAAACGTATTATTTAGTTTGTTGAATCTTTTTGGGATTAACATTATCTTATAAGAAAAATGATAAAAAAGTTATGACATTATTGCCAAGTTAGTTCTTAAACATCAAGAATTTATATTTTAGTTTTTTTATAAGTACAACATAAATTAAAACATCTTAAAAAAATTTAGATACTACCATTTAACAAAAGTTAAACTTGATTATCATCAAATAATAATGATTATTAAAAATAGTATAAAATTTTATAAAAACATCTTAAAAATCTACAACAATGTGTTTCTTATAGATATCATTTGTGTTATTATTAATACGTTATATTTTCTTTTACATGTTAGATTTCGAGATCATATATAATGTGTTCCTATATATTTTTATTCTTGCATTGTTTATATATAATTGACTTAAAACGGTGATTATGTTATTTTGTTCGAGTTTTGGATGAAAATTCAATACTAACACATAATATCTTTTTTGATTTGCGACCCGTTCAGATTTAGAATTTTTTTTCATTATTTTTAAAGTTTTTATGTTCATATATGATTTGTCAACATTGGTATCATATAATTTTTCTCCTACGCAACGTGTGTGTGTGTGTGTGTGTGTGTGTGGTGTGTGTGTGTGTGTGTGTGTGTGTGTGTGTGAGGTTCAATAGAGAATCATAATTAACCAAGGAACCAATCTTTTTTTCAACTTTTACAACTTATTTTTTATCAAAAAAAAAAACTAAAAATACAGAAATTCATAACTTTTTATCCTTTTTCCAATGATATCAAATTCGAATTTTTTTTTTACGTCAAATTCACAATGTGAATTTTTGAAAATTCACAACGTGAATCCGGATTCACACGGTGAATCCGAAAAATATTTTTCACATTCACAATGTTAATATATGAATTTAGATATTTTTAGAATTTTTTTGGGTAAAAAATAAGCTCTAGAAATTGAAAAAAAGATTTGGTTTCTTGAAGAACCAATAATTATGGTTCTCTATTGAACTTTTCCCTATATATATATATATATATATATATATATATATTATATATATATAATATATATATATATATATATATATATATATATATATATATATATATATATATATATATATACTCAAAATGATTAGCTAGTTAAATGAAAGTCAAGCATGAACCCAAAAAAAATGACAAAACTAGCAAAATTACTTAATTATTTTTTTATTTAATAGCCAAAAATTAGCCATTAGTCAAAAATAACCAATGAAACATCCACTCAAAACCTACGGTCTCATCATAACCGGATTAAATGAGCTACGGTTTGTGTGCAATGGGCTGTTGTTTTGGCGTTCGTCTACTGTTTGAGGGTCCATTAGCCTAAAATAAATAAAGTTGAAATTTTTTATTTAAGTCATTTTTGAGTGTTTGAAGTTAGAGAAATGCTTTCAATGGCAGCTCCGAACAACAACCAAGTATTTCTCATAATCTTCGTTCTTTTTTTGCTTGATGTCGTTTACTATAAAATCTATTAGTATTTGGTATGTTTGTTTTTTTTTAAACTAAAAAAAATATGCAAACCATTGGTACGGTATGCCAAATACTGTGTATAAGTTGATAATACACAAAATGTGCATTAACAATTTGTACACCGTAGGTAGAATACTGCACCTACGGTTTGCACATTTTTTTTGTTTCTAACTTATATAGTGTTATAGTTGTGTAAATGTAAGTTATGTTGGTTGATTCCGTAGTTTGATCGAAAAAATAATTGAATGCCAAGAACGAAAAAGTAGTTTTTATTTATCAGTAGTTTTTTTAAGAAAACAGCATTTTTTCGAACTGTAACTTAATGTATTGTTCTTCAAGTTCATACGGATATGAAACCATATTCTTTTTATAGAGCATACCGTCAGTGAGTCAATCACCTATGGTTTTGGCAAAAAAAATGATTTTCTTTTTTTTATTGGACAACGAAATCATAGACCATCCCGTAACAGTAGGCAGTAGGCATTGCTGCTCGTCTATAGTGTCCTTGACTATTTTTGGCTAGTTGCAAATATTTGAATATTAAGTGAAAAGTCATTAGGTGATTTGGCTAGATTAGTCTGCAACCCATAAGTTTCATCAAATTTGCATGTGATCATTCAGACCATCAAATTATTGTTTTTTCCTTGAAACTTTTCGTCATTACTATATTAAGATAAAAACATATAATATAACGAACCAGTGTCAATTTGATGCTCTGTATTCAACGTTCAATTATTTAATTAATGTAAGTATCATAAATTTTATAATATGAATAAAATAATGTAACCAGTAATAATTAGTTTACTAAGATTTTATATATATAAATTTAATGGATTCAATTGATTGTTGTCGTTTACAAGCATCTTAAAATGCCACCACATCCAATTCATATGATTTCTGTCGCCATCTTCATATATTTTTATCCTTTATAATGACTTTCAGACTATTATTAAAAGCTAACTAATTAACTAAAAAAAGTACGCCAATGAGAGGTGAAGACTACGGTTTGGTTTAAGTTGATTTTAGTCACCATTATGATTATATATGTTGAGCTAATTGTAACTAATTGTATTGGGGATGTGAAGAAAATAATTACAGTCGATTTGGCTTCCTGACATGTTGTCCATCTAGCATGCGTGGTTTTTTGGCGATTAATTCTTAAAAACTTATAATATTATATTGATATTGGTGTAAGTTTTGGATCATTTTATGCTAATTTCATTAGAGATACAAAATTTTTAAAATTGCATATATAGAAGATAATGGTTAGGATCCATTCGATGATTAGAAATTTCTTATAGATTTTGCTTTTAAGCCGAAAACCGACTTTTTTTTAATGCATGTGTCTTTACCATATTAACATTTAAAACAAATGTAATGCTAGACAATTTGTCAGTTTAAGAAATACAACGTAACGCTGAACAAGATATGCTATGCCAAAAGTATAATTTTCAAAATATTCTAAATATAACTAATTTAAATATATTTTTCCTTTAAAAATCACAAGTATTTTGCACTCAACGTAAAGAAATAGGCAAACTCTTAACACGTACGGTTAAAAATAACCAATGGAAGATAAAAAAAAAAAAATCTTTTTTTCCTCGTCAAGTAATTTTACATTGCAGATCCACACAAACCCCAAGAAACTGTGCCAAAAAGATCTCCCATATCTGATATGCTTTTCTTAATTACAACAGTCATTTAGTTACTCCCATCAATCATCATATAACATCCATCAGTAAGAATATGTGTTGTCTTGTTTTCATCATCATCATTCATCAAGTAGCTGCTGATGTTGACGCTGCTGCTGCTGTTGTTGTTGATAACAGTGAGTTGCTTCACTTCTTCTAGGTTAATATGCAGTGGATTAACATGATTCTTGAAATACCCTTTTGGTTTCTGATCAACGTAGTTATGATCTGTCATGAAAGCATGCCTTTGATCTCCAAACCACTGAAGGGAAAACTGGTCTTCTTGCTTGATCCGATGATGATCATACTTGTTGTAGCTTATTTGGCTCATGCAACTACCACCACCGTCGGAGGAAGAACAAGTTGTACTTAGTTCACCACCACCTCCGAACATCAGCATCCTTTCTTTCACCTCTGGGTAGTAGCACTCCTTGTTCATGCTCTGATCACCTTGAAACCCTGGATAATAATTGTTGTTGGAAATCATACCGGTTAAGGGGTTTGATGGTGGCGGCACAAAGAGATCAGTAACATTCATATGATCATGGACGATGCTGCTACCGGTGGTGGTGAGGAGAGAGTTGCTAACATTCATGAAGTTAGAGTTGTTGTAAAACGATGAAGTGTTCAAGAAATTGTCTGAATATTTATGATGATCAGAAAGTGGTGATGATTGAAGGGGAATAGATTGGTGAAAAGATGGCTTCTTTTGGAAGGAAGGAAGCATAGCCAATAGCTTCTTCCTAAGTTTGGTGTTCCAGTAATTCTTGATATCGTTGTCAGTCCTTCCTGGTAGCTGACCTGCTATTATTGACCATCTGTATATGCAATTTACACATGAACATCAATCAAGATTCTTATGCACATAGTCAAGGAGGTTAAAAGATCCACAAAATGAACCAAGAACAAAACTCTAGATTTGAGAGTTGACTTGGCATGCATGCATCCAACCATAATTGCTCCAAATTCAGTTTAGGGTTTCACTATATTTGACCTCTCGTGGAAAGAAAAGATGTACAGTCACAGATGGAATATTTGTGCAGCGAGAGTACAGTTGTATATAGATACAAATGAAAGCTAGTGAGCGTAAGATAAAAAAAAAGGAAGTAGCAAAATGAAAGATCCATTTACCAACCTGCTACCAATGCTAGCATACAAGCTGTAGATGATCCTATCTTCATCTTCAGAAAACTCACCATGTTTAATATTGGGTCTCAAATAGTTTAACCATCTCAACCTGCAACTCTTCCCACATCTTTTTAAACCTGCTCACTCAACCAAAACAAAAACCCTTTTAATTTCTTGCAAGAAACACACACCAATGGCGAGAGATAGATAGATAATGTGTGTGTGTGTGTGAGAGAGAGAGAGAGAGAGAGAGAGAGAGAGAGAGAGAGATTAAACATACCAGCCTTGTGAGGAAGAGCGATCCAGTTACCACCAGTGCCATGTTTGTTTATAAACTCTTTGAGCTTTGCATCTTCTTCAGGAGACCATGGCCCTTTTTTCACACTTGTTTTGTCGCAACAAGGAGCTCTTCCCATCTCTCTCTTGGTTGTGCGTATCTCACTTAGTTGACCTTTTTCCGGTAGAAAAATCTCTCTTTTTTTTCTTTCTCTCTCTGTCTGATCTGCTGTAAATAGACAATTTTGTCTCATGGGTTAGCTGGTTGGCTTTTTATGGAGTGAGGGACTTGTTTAGTCTCTCAAGGATGGAAGTCAGCAAGGGAAATACAAAGCAAAACTTCTTCCATTTTTAATTCAAAACGAGAAATAAGAAGCCAAAAAAATATTCTATATATCGAATCCATTCATCTATATAAAAAAAAAAAAGGTAAAACGTACGATCTGAGCAACCCACGTTAACTCGCCCTAAGACCCACGTAGGACGTCAATCGCAGAATGTAAATATATGTGGAGCCCCATATTAACTCTTCAAAAAAGCCTTTGTCGAGAGAAAGAAAACTCCAACATATATAGCCGTTTATAAGACCGTATCGTACCGGTAAGGGATACACTAACACTCCCCTTCAGAATCAGAGGGTCAATGATGATAGACAGGGATGTGCTGAGCCACGAGGTACGGGACGCAGACTCTGATACCATATAAATATATGTGGAGCTCCAATTTAACTCTCCAAAAGAGCCCGTGTGGGGAGAGGAATACTCCAACATATATAGACATTTATAAGACCGTATAGCACCAATGTGTGATACACTAACACAGAACCTAATAATAATTTAGGTGTGTCTGAGTTTCAATCATGGACTTCGTGTGTGGAATTCTATTCCTCAACCACTAGGATCCTATGAGGGGGAATCTATAAATTTTATGTGTCTATTTTTCAAGAAGAAATAGAAATCGTAAATAACTTTGTAAGTAAGGATTTAGTGTAACATCTTTAATATGGGCTTTAAGAGTTTTGGCTTTTTAATGAAAAGTAAAAAAAAAATTGAAATAAATCAAATAAATATATTTAAGTGATAAATAAAAAAAAATATAAATAAATTATAGCAAAACCTCATAAATGGTCCCTTTGGTTTTTCGAAATCTGGGATATAGTCCATAAATTTAAAAAACCTCATAGATGGTCCGTGTGGTTTTCAACTTCTATCGTGGTTGATCTTTTACCCACCTAAAAAGACTTTTATACCATTTTAATTTCTTTTTATAATTTCTTTAACTAATTTTAACAAAAGAAAAAGAAAAAAAAGTAAATAATAAAACCTAACCTTGGGCCTCTCTCTCTCTCTCTCTCTCTCTCTCTCTCTCTCGTAAACACATCCACCAACCTTTGTCTTTCTTCCTCAACTCCAAAAACATTGAAACTCCATTACCATCGTGGGGCTCCACCACCAAAGGACCTCCAACATGGAACTACATTGTTGGCGATGGCTAACCCCCGAAAAAAACCCACCAGTGAATCTCATCGAAGAGTTGTTGTTGGATTATGACCTTGGAGATGAACCGGTTGCAGGAATTGGTAACACAAGTGTGTATTGCAACTATTGGATTCACACTTATCATGTATTGCAACCTTCAAGGCTTCCACAAAACTGTATATAAGTCGATATCATTGATAGTGGTGGTAGTTTCTGATCTTCTTTGAACTTTTGTTGGTGGGGGATTTTGTGACTCTCGAAGAAGTGTTTTACATATTGCTAATTAGTATATCGTTTTCTTTTGGGGATTAATTGAATGTATGAGAAAGAAGAAGAACCTAAATCAAGGATGGGTCGAGAGATCTCGAATCTACTTTAGTCGCGGTCCTTTGTTATATTATTGATCGGTTTAATATTCGTCGCCCTCAGTTTTTCTTTGTTCTCTCAACATGTAATGCTCACTGACATTTGTTATAATCAAATTGGATTTGGATCTATTAATGAGTGAAAATGGATCTTATGTGGGCCCAAGTGGGGTTATTTATTTTGTTCTTCTTTTTTGAACAGTTTTAATTAAAATTAACTATAAAAAGAAATTAAAAGGGTAAAAAGTATTTTTAGGTGGGTGAGGTACCAACCACGATAGAAATTGAAAACCAGAGGGGTCATCTATGATGTTTTTTAAACTTATGGACTATATCCTATATTTCTAAAAACCACAGGGACCATTTATGAGGTTTTGTCAAAATTATAAAGTGAAAGTTGATTAGTTATAATATAAGCATTATAAGAATAAGTGATGTAGACCTTAAATGAGGAGAAATGTAGAATTGGGACTAAAAATATCATTTTCCTAAATTTAAGGACAAGATACGAAACATAATTACCTAATTGCTAGAAGATAGAAATTTGGGGTTTAAGTGTGAATTTGAGAAGTTACAATAACTAGTGGAAATGGTGTCTCCTTTGGGAAAATAAGAAACTAAAAGGCCATATATGCCAAGTGACCAAAGATGGGAGCTATTTAGAAGGGTTCTCCCCATGTAGAAAAGGACCATGCTTTGGAGACGGAAAAGCTTCCTTGGATGATCTCTCATGCTTTAATGGAGATATGGAAGGAAATTGATGAAGAAGAAGCTAAGGCTTGAAGTTAGGAACTCAATATCTAGCAAAGAAGGTATAAACTCTTCCCTATCTAACTTCATTTTTTTATTAGCGCTTGTATGGATTCTTCAAATCCGAGTTTTGTAGATAGATTATTGATCTAAATGGGTTTCTAAACCGCATTCCCTTGTTGGATTCCATCTTTAAACATCATCTCCCTCATAGATGCTTGAATGGAGAGTTTGTTGGGTTTGGGTTCTCCAAACCCTAATTTATGGAGAAATCCAAATTTTCCAATCAGTTAATGGTTTGAATGAGTTTGAATGTTTGGAACTGTCTAGAACATCCTAGCATTGTTATCTCATCCTTGAATGGTTACAATCCATCACCAATGGTGGTAATGAGTATTTCAAGCTATAAGCTCATGGTTGAGTTATACTTTGTCTATGATGAGTCATACTCTAGATTTTATTTTTGGATGATTGGATTTGTTATTCTCTACTCGAGAATCAGATATCAACATGAATCCATCAATTGGTAGTGTTTTGTTTATGAAATCCACAATACGTGTTGGAATTGGGAAATTAAGTTTCTAATGAGGAATCCATGAGAGATTTGAAGAAAACTTCAATGATTAGATGAACTAGAGTGAGAATGGTCATGAATAAAGTTATAATATAAGAATCAAGTGCTAGAGTGATTGGTGATAGACTCTATCAAAAGATCTAAAAGTGATTTGAAGCAAAATTAAGGTATTAAGCTTTGGTGTGATTTCCAACTTTGGAATCATCCATTTTAATCCTTGGAATCCATAGTTTTAATCATTCCAACTAGTATTAACATGTTCTAATGTGAATTAGGAGTCCAATGACTCCTTAGAATGTTTATTGTTGAGAGTCAAAGCTATTAAGAGCTTAATTCTTATCTAGGATGTTTGTATGTCATCATAAGCTTCCTAAAGCTCTTATAAGATCTAGATGTTTTATAGATTAAGCCATAAACAGGATAAGACTTAATAATGCTTATATAATCTTAATGACCCTTATTTGGTCCATTAAAATCTTTTGGCAAAGTTTAGTGAGCCTTGGAAGTCATTAGTACAAAGTACGTAACTTGAATGAGAAAAATTGCACTTTTTGGGTGACTTGCACTATGGACACAAGGGGTGTCCAACATTTTATGAAGGGTACTTTATTTTTAAAAAACCTAGTATCCGGCATCCAGATGCTCCCAAATTTTAAATATAATCTAATAGGAAGGACATAAGCTTATGGGTGAAGTTAAAATGTTAAAAACCTTAGAAGGGTATTTTAGTAATTTGTTATAAATGAATGTTGATGTTAATAGATGGTGTATGAAGTGATGTGAAGTGTAAGATGCATAGGCAGAGGGAGAATAGCTTTGGACTAAGGTGAGTACTATTGAATACATGTCCGATAATGCAACGAAATGTGTTTCATAAATTTGAAAGTGTCTAAAGATGTTTTATACTTTGATTGTTATGTGTTCAACTATGAGTTTACTTATATGTGAATTTATAAAATTGATTTTTATGACAGAGTTTGATAAAGAGTAAAGTGTTAAAATTATTTGAAAAGCGGTTAGGATAAATAAATGTGTATTCATGCAAGAATGGGGAAAACAACAGTGTGTCCCTCCAAAGTCCATGGCAAACAACACTAAAGAGACCAAAGAGTAGTACGGTAATTTATACATGAAACATCCCAAAATATTGACCAAAAATTTCTTTTTAAAATCATTTAATAAAAACCATAATCCATCAATATCATAATAAATCACAAATCGTATCTCTCAAAAACATCATGTCAAATACTGTATCACGATCATGTAAGAAAAATATCAGAGTCTAACAATCCCAGGCTAAAAACTGTGGTGTGTGTCATGCGATCATCCCGATCCCTTCCCCTTGCTAGCAGAAGTACCTGAAACCAAAACTGAAAACTGTAAGCAGGAAGCTTAGTGAGTCTCCCCAACTACCACATACCATACACATATCACATAACATATCTTGGGCCCCACCTCTGCTACATCGAGTCAAACTCGACATCGGCTTTCCCGGCATCGGGTGTGACATCCCCATTTTCACGGCCAGAAAAGACCGATTTTTTTTATGCTTTATAAAAATCAGAGTACCTTTTTTAATAAAAACGTTGCGGAATTTGTTCCCAGAAAAACATGATAAATACGTTATCAAAGCATTTCCAAAGAAATGTATTTTTATCCATTTTAAAACATTTGGGATGTCATCGTCAATACAGAAACATAAGCATAAACAGATCTTACATTCATTTACACTAGTGATCTACATCTCTTTTAAATCCCTCAGTGTAAAGTAGCTTCATATCGACACCTGTGATACAAATAAGCTTGAGTGGGTCAGGTTGGGAAACCTGGTGAGTACATAGGTTTTTCAACCCACAATAATTTAATTATTATGTTTAAACATCAAACAATCAACCCAATTGCCCATCCCCATTATCTTCCTTACTCTTAAGGATCTACCCTAAGAATCATCTATCCTGCATTCGTTCATTTCGAAGCCCATTGCTTCCAAGGTTTATATGATAGGCACTAAGTCCATAGCTGCCAATGCTTGTTCGTAAAGCACTAATTCCATAGTTGCTAAAGTTTATTCATCGGGTACTAAATCCAT